GTGGACGATGGTCGTGACAAGCGTGCAGCACGCAGCGGGACAGCCACGCCAGAACCCTGGGTCACTCGGCGGTTGCCATTGGTAAATGGGCCGTTCATGCGGGGTTGAAGGTGGTTTCATGGGGGTTTACTGGAACTTAATGGAACTAATCATGATATAGTGGATCTTGATGGCACTATATAGATGGAACTTAATGGGACTTACTGGGGATTCACTCAATCCGCCCCTAAATAGTCACCCGAAATAGTAATGCCTTACCAAAGGCTTATTAACCACCAAAAGCCGCTAATAAGGGTGTATGAACCATCTAATCTATTGTGAGGATTTATTAGGGGGTTCACCGTTGGGAGGGAACAAAGAATATTTGATAGATGCTCATAGACTTTTAGCGATCTGTTCATCATTATTTACAGGTTCTATCAACATTAACGGATTATAATTGAATTTCGCTTTGTCCCAAAGTGGAGGAGGTGGATTTACCCTTGACATATGGCCTCATTAAGATGGAAAATCATACTAAACCAAGGGAATCCTATTTCAGACAGATCAAGACTATGTAATACCGTTGCAATACTCAAACAATGACTGGCCGGTGGTTTCAAATTAGTTTTCTTGTTTCTCCATTTTATGCTTTTCATGATGATAACAATTGATCGAGATTGTGCAGGCGATCGCGGTTGTTTGACGATTGCATATAGGGTTATACTATCCAATATTTTGTGCATTTATATGAAGATTATCATCATACATTATGTGATGTTTTCTCAGCCAAACCGTACGATGGACTGACACGTGACTTTGAACGCTTTTGAACACTGTTCGTTTGATCTTTAGCAGAAGGCTAACACTCGCCGTCGCAAAAGAGACTGCAACATTTGGCGCATCAAATGTTACAAGATATATAATACAATTGGGGGTTTCCATAAATGGGGTTACCCCAGTAGCTGGATGGTTTATAATGGAAAATCTTGTTTAAAATGGATGATGTGGTGGTACCCATATTAATTTAGAAAACCTCCAAACGTCCACAAATTCTTGGGATAGTCTCCACCCAAAATTCAAGAACTGCATCTGTTTTTGGACAAACCAGGGAGAAACTAGGCACTGATAGACTGATCGGCGGTCAAAGTTCAGAAATCCATCTGATTGGTTTGATACAAAAAATGACGTTGGCGGAAAATAAAATACCCCAAAATCCATTGGTTAAGACTTATTTTCCCTTTAAAAGTTTATTCGGGGTATACCCCATTTAATCACACAATTGCCATTTGTGGGGTCCATTGGCACCCGCAACTCCAGGAGCGTGTGGAGTCGCAGGACGACCTTTGTTGGTTTGTCTGAAGTGGTGGATTTGGCACGATTTTTTCCAGGCAAATTTGAGATTTGACAATCAAAATAGAGGGATTTCATGGGATGTCAATGTCACAAATAAAAAACACGGATTTGGGCGTGTCTCAAGCCTGGGTATCCCATGCAACGGCAACTTTGATAGGGCAAAAATAAATGCAAAGCATGGAATTTTGGGGTTCCATTTTTAAGACAACCTCGAATAGGGCGGTCCGCTTTCCCCCTGCTTTCCCCAGCTTTTGAGCCCTGATTTTCGGACGGATTGGGCCACACGGGTCCAGTCCTCTAGCAGTTGTGGTTTGTCCATGACCTGTAAGCAGTGATAATCACTAAAGTTGCTATATTTATTACTAGATTTATTTACAGTAAATTATCACACCCATTCTGCATTGGATTTCCAGGATCCGATGTCTTCTAGGTGTTTGTGTTTGGTGAATCTTGTGAACGAACATGTACAGTAAGTGTTCGTTTTTTTGTCAAACAACAAACTCAAACAACAAACTCACATCTATGTCGATGTTTCATCAAATTCATATCGCATATCTATGTTGATGTTTCATGTTGTTCCTGTCACCATACACTACAGTATATTACTAGTGATTGCATAACGTCTATCTCGTTCAGTGATATTGCTAGAAGCTCTGTCAGTTTCACAAGAACATGTAAGACATACATATAGAACATAGAACTATTGAATCATCTTGATAATTCAATGATCATTATAGATCATACATACTCACATATTTCCTTTGGTCTCGTAACAGGCATTTCATGTAACGTATCAGAATATCATCCCCAAGAACAAGCCGCTTGATATATACGCCATGGAGGTCCATGATATGTACCACGTGATGGCCTCAAGGTCATATTTTTTTGCACGGTTTCCCAAGAATAAATCCAATACCCCAATGCTCCATGATGCTGGAGTATTTACCAACATTTACCCCCAAAATGATCCATTTTTATGATATTTATGGGTAAATGTTCCATGGGTTGCATCTGGTACATATATAGATATAGATACCCTGAACACTATGGAAAACCACCCATTTTTCATTGGCAAATCCATGGATCAGCGGGGCCCCATCAAAATCCCCTGGTTTTCACCAGGACCAGAGCTTCACCCCCTATGCACAGGCCTCGATGCCGGAAAAGCCTGTGGTTGTTGAAGGTAGCCATGGAAAATCACCATCTCTATCCATTTGTAATAGGCAAATCATCATAAATCGTTTTTTTGTGCGTATTGTAAATAAAATAGATCATGTTCCATAGCTAGGTTAAATAAACAGAGGGCATTATTCATGATCAATGGGGACAAAATGGTCATCACAATGGATGATCAGCAATGAAACTGTGTTGATATACCACAACGGAAAAAGGCGAGACTTAACGCCAAAAGATGATGAGAACCAGCACACACACAAACAAACATGGTGCTGGTAGGTAAGTCGAGCAAACAAGAACACAGCCAAGATGGTATGGAAGGAGGTAAGCCTGTCATGGAGAGAGAAACGTGTATCAGCAGAATTGCGTCGGATTTACAAGAATTTTGTTACACGTGTGTATGTAGATACAGGCAATTGCAATATGATCAGAGATAAATGCATCATGTTCATATTATGATGACATATTATATATGCACAGTATAGCATATATATATATGCATATATATATATATATATTGAACAGACATGCGCATGTATATATATATATATATGTACATATACTTATACATATACATATGCACACATATGATATATTTATACAGTGTACATCATAGACATGCTTGATGTCGAAGATAACATGTCCCAACCTCCATTCGCCCATCATCGTCCATCATTGCAACCATGCAGGAAGGGCATGGCTTTCCCATGCAGGGCGTACACTGCGTGCAACTGACCACGTCGGACTCAAGTGATCTCGTGCGTTGGTTGATGGAGCCTGGACAGTAAACGAAGGGTTAGGGGTCTGGTGATGTGAGATACCAAGATGGTCAAAATCATCGATTTTCTTTCTTTTCTTGGGATGGTTTCGATTTTCACCGTAGCTAGCTAGGCAAAAGTATGTTCCTTTCGACTAGCCAATGGTCAACTGACTGTTAAATGCATGTTGTCGAAATGTGTTACCAGTTTGATGGAGGACTATGTCACATCATGTCATATCACCTCATATTTGCCAGAGATTTGCCGAAATTGCCGACTTGAAATGGGGAAGTAAACCTACCTGGAAGTGCCTAAAACAAGGCCTAAAACAACCCATGACTGGTGATGCACCTCCAGGCATCAAAAGTGATCAACACCACGGTTTTGCTGAGTCTATGCTTTTGGGCCATGGCATGTTATGGATTTATGGCATGTTTGAAAGACGTCGTATTTCATAGATTCTAATTCATGATCTTTTTGAATCTTCATACTTGTGCCCATTATTTGGTCCATTCTTCAGTTGTTTCCTGCCTAAGCAGTTGCTGTGAACATGGCCTACTGGCCCTTTTGCCATTCCGAGGAGAACGCTGTGAGTCGCCTGTCTGAGATTTTTGGGGAAACCATTCATTTCGGATATTCCATGGGGATAACCAACATAGGTAATTATATACTGGTTGGTGGTTTGGAACATTTTTTACTTTTTCGATATATTGGGAATAATCATCCCAACTGACTTTCAGGGGTTGAAACCACCAACCAGTATAATTATGGGGGTTCCATAAACAGGGTACCCCTAAAATTTAATGCTTATATTAATGATTATAATGGAACATCCTATTATGAATGAGGCTTGGGGGTACCCCTATTTATGGAAACCCCAATATGGATGTCTTTGAAAATGGCGCATGCGGCATATCCCTCAAAAAATTGCCAATTTCTCTGGGAAAAGGATGATTGACCATGTTGAACCACTGGGAGGTACGGAGGTACCATATTTTCAATCAACCCCAAAGGGAGATGTTGATATATGTTGATCGGGAAACTTGCAAACCATAGGATTTTTGGGTTTTCAAAGTTTGAGACAACCCCGACAGGGAAGAGAAGCCTCGAGTAAAATTGGAAAACATTCTGAAACGTGAGAATAAAACAACAAGAAAATCCAAGAACAACGAAAGAACATCAGAATCATGACCATGGATAGAAGCGAGCAACGGAGATATCACCGACTGCCTTTTGTTTTTGTTGTGTTTTAATAAAATGAGGGGATAGTCGGATAACCTCTTATCCTTTAACATAGCTATGAACATTCAAATAAATTATCGAACTAAACAGGCAATGTCATAGCAAACTGTTAGTTTGCTGGATGGCAACATCAAAATCCACTAACAGCATACGGAGCAGTGGGACTTTTCCGGAGTTGGGATCCACCAATAGCTGGATCTCAAGACTGACTTGGAATATCTGATACTGCTGATATCAAAAGCACTTGTTTCATGTTGTTTCCAAATCTTGCTATGAGAATTTGAAGATCTGGAATGTTCATCTGATACATCTGTCTTTTTGGATGGGTCGATTTGCGTAAGGGGGGATGGATGCAGACAGGTTGGTGGCCCAAGCTCTAGTGGTTGGTGTAATCCCAAGCGGCTTATATCTTAAGGTTTTGATGAATGATTGGGCTAAAGAGTTAACAGTTTCTTGGCTCCCATCCCCGATAAGACTCGATAAGAATCTTAAGCATATTGGAACATATAATCTAACACGTGTAAATATATATATATATACGTATATATATATATATATATACATAAACATTGTAAAACATTCTTTGATTAGTATACTACATGCAGGATATTCTAAAACATATTATAAGACTTCAAGCCTCGGTCGACTTAGGTTCTGCCACGCGCATTGCTGCACTGGAGGAGCGTGTTCCTTGGCTATGCTCTGTCGGATGCGGCTACAATGGGATTATACAAGGGGAGATAGACAACATACAATATACATGGGATATACAATAGACATGGGGTATACAATACATGGTTTTGTCTGAAAATTTGGTAATGATAAGTATCCCCTTAAAATGGCCATTTCATAGGAAAAAATAGGGTTGACCAATGGATTACATGGATTTAGAGGTTCCCTGTACACTATTTTCAGACAAACCCATATACATGGTGTAGATATATATATATATATAGAATACATATATATATATATACATGTGTGTATGGGTTTATTCGTTCGTATTTATGTATATATATATATAAGTATTATTATATGTATATAAGATATGAAGGATATCTACAATGGGAAGGATATCTACAAAAAGATTCATATATATATATATATATGTATAGCAATCTCAGATTGTAGCCCACAATCTAACATGGAACCTTGCAAACATGTTTTGAACGATGATTTTACTTCTGAATACGGCTCACATGTTGGGTTCCATGTATATTCCCAAGCAAAGTTTATCTAACCGCGATCATCCTGTGAAATCCCCGGTGGTAGTCACCTTGAGCATCCCTTCATGGGCTACCGGAGGTGGCCCATTTGGAGCTTTTGAATACTCAACTTCATGCGGCGGCCTATCTTCACAACTGGAGAGAAACCTGGTGGAAGAGCTGGGCTTGCCACACAGTCATTGGTGAATAAACAGTACTTAGACGGGGACTGCAATACCTGGTGTAGGGAAATTTTGATTATGTGGGAGTACCTTCTTCATTTGACATCATGGGTGGTCTTCAACGTTTCGTACATTGGAGCCAGGACGAGCCTTTACCAAAGGTTTCAGCAGTAAAAGTCAACCTACAAGGATGTGAAAGGAAAGGTAATCCCTACCAAGCATCCAATTTTTACATCAGCCCATACTTCCCTTTATTTCTGCACGTGTTAGACGTCACATGACGTCACGTTTTTCTTCACCCACCCTGGGTACTTGGATGACTTGGTGTCATCCCCTACATCCGGTTTCAGATGGCATGATGGGGGATAATCCGAAACGGCCTGTAGCATCCAGCAATACCAAGGATCATCACTGATCGGCAGTGCAAGGCGGAATCTTTGGGTGCCGAACCTTCTTTTGGTCTGCCACGGGAATGGGTCAAGTGGGTCAAGTGGGTCAAGTGGGCCAAACAAGAGGATTGCTGGAAATGCTACAAATATAAATATAAAGATTCAAGAATTAAATATCCTGAGACCAGAAACCATAATTATATAAGAATTAAAGACGCTCAAGAACATTGGGACGAAATCCGTCCTCCGTTGGGTCCGTTGGGTCCGTTGGGTCCCTGGGGCCCGGATTCTTTGACCTTGATATCTCCTAGGCCTATGGGCACAGGCCAAAGATAGGAGAAGGCAGCTCCGAAAACCGATAGAAAAGTATAGAAGACGGAGATTGAAACCTTGCATTCTTGGGGTAAATATATGGCTTTGGATCAATACCTATAAATTTTACCATTTATAGGGGGGATGAATATCCATTTACCAGCTATTTTGGTGTTCACCAGGGGTACAGGGTTTCGATCCATATCCATATGATGATACTTGATCATAAAGGTAAATATCACGATACCACAATGGAGAAAAAACACCTGCCCTTTTGCGGACAATACTTTGCCCAGAAGGATGAGCAGTCCTGTCACTGCAGGGCAGAAGCTGTTCGGCACCTACAGTTTGTGGAAAAATGAAACCTCAAAACTGGTTGCAGCCAAAAAAAAACCCTCAGAAGTGCGTTCCGACATTTTGTGAAAAACATGATTTGGATTGAATTGGTGCAAATGGCCACATTGGAAGACAAATGGCTGGCAATCAGATGCGCTTCGTTCGTGATGGGCAATAATCCAACTCCTTGCAACAGGCAAGAGCTGGCGAATGAGCAGCGGCCAGCCGCTGAGTTACAGCAGCCTAGTTACAGCAGCCTGAATACTCTCGAGTGCGTGGAAATTGTCATTTGGTCTCAAGATGTTTCAAGGAATTAGTGTACGAATGTGTACTACATCATTTCCTTGCCGAGTAATTTCCAGGTACGAGAAGGAGGAGATGAATCCTTTCAATCCCGCGTAGCCAGGATGTCTGCGCAACTGCTGAGGGTACCAGGGGGTCATCAGCACAGCTGATTGAGGTACCTAAAATGCAAGTGCTGTGGATTCGGTGGCGGGTAGCAGTAGTACTGCACAGGGCGGTGGCGGAAGTGTCAAAGATAGGACACCTATAGGAGAGGTTGGTTGTTGTGACGCATGGATGGCAGAGCGAACCCACTGATGGATCAAAATGTGGTTGAAGTGTCGGGCTATCTATCTGTCTGTCTATATGTCTATATGTCTATCTATCTAATCTATCTAATCTATCTCTATCTATCTATCTTTCTTTCTTTCTTTCTACCAATCTACCTATCTATCCATCTATCTATCTATCTAACTTTCAATCTATCTATCTATCTATCTAACTATCTATCTATCAATCTAGCTATCTCTCTATCTATCTATCTATCTAACTTTCAATCTATCTCTATCTATCTATCTATCTAACTTTCAATCTATCTATCTATCTATCTATCTATGTATCTATGTATCTAACTTTCTATCTATCTCTATCTATCTATCTATCTATCTATCTATGTATCTATGTATCTAACTTTCTATCTATCTCTATCTCTGTCTCTCTATCTCTATCTTTATCTCTATCTATCTATCTATCTACCTATCTATCTATCTATCTCTATCTATCTATCTCTATCTATCTTTCTTTCTTTCTTTCTGTCTACATGTTTATCTATTTTTCTGTGTATCTGTCTATCTATCCATTTGTCTATCTATCTATTTGTCTGTCTGTCTGTTTGTCTGTCTGTTTGTTTGTCTGTCTGTCTGTCTATCTACCTATCCACCTATCTGTCTACCAATTTATGTGTCTATCAATTGATGTGTCTATCTGTCTGTCTGTCTGTCTGTCTGCCTGCCTGTCTGTCTGTCTGTCTGTCTGTCTACAGTATCTATCCCATGTCAGGTCTCTAAAATACTGCGCTTGCTGCGAAAAAGTGAGGCCAGGTCATGCGAAGTGCTGCGCCTGTCACGCAAAATCATCTTAGCAAACCTGAAGATCTGATACTCCAAAATGCAACCCTGACCTCCTAACATCTCTGATTCAGACATGTCCTTTGTTTTGCGCCTGCCACGCGACATGCATCTGTGCAGGTCCTCTTCACCACGCCTGCCATGGTTTTTGAAACTGTTACCAAACCCTCACGTTTTGCTTCCTTTTGGCAAGGTGCAGAATCCATTGTGCCTGCCACAAAAGTCCAAACATGTGGTGCTTTGACCATTTTGACTTCGAAATGTGCTTCGCGCCACAACGGCGTGCACATTTTCCGACATCTCACCCTGCCAAGAACTGATGTGTTTTGCATGTTTTGACTTGGAAATGCGATGCGCGCTACAAGAGCGTGCACTTTTTAAACATCTCAACTTCCAAAAGTGGTCCGAGACTGAAGTGTTTTTGGCATTTTTACTTCCAAATGTGCTTCGCGCCACAGCGGCGTGCGCTTTTTCGAGATCCCTCCTCCCAAATACCTCCGGAGGTGGGGTGCTTTTATACCTTTTTTGACGTGCCACAACGGCGCTCATCTGACCAGATGGCTCCGCACCCGCCGCTTTAGCGAGCCTACTTTTCGACCCTCCGGAGCCACAAAGCATTGGAAAACATATAGTGTTTGGCGACTTTTTTCGCCTTTTCGCGCGCTTCGATTTTTTCTACTTTTTCTGACTGCTTTCACCACTGCTACTGCATTTGTCCATAAGTCGGCAGTTTGACTTCTAAATAAACTTCCTTCGGAGACAGCGTCTACCTGTAACATATACATATAGAATTTTTGCAATTGCCTGACATAGGGCACAGGCCAAACCGTTGGTGATGGTTGATGGTTACTGACTGCCCCTTTATCGGGTCTTGTTGTTGCGGGGTCATGTGCATGGGGAGTCATTAAGGATTCCCATTAAAACATTCATTGCGCTTCCCTAATGCTTCAAATACCTTTTGACAATGTGTTTGGGCCCAAGAACAGCCTCAGAAAGTGTTCGGGGCCGTTGGGTTTCATCACACCATGTAAGTTTCACCTCTGGAAATACATGTTTCTCTGGGGTATGTAGCCCACAGGAAAAAATATCCCACGCAGGACATATGGTCATATGGGTGTGGTTTTCCAAATTTTCGACTACTGGATATTCCAAACGCACCTGCAATTCACCCATTCCAGACGCACCGCATAGCGGCATAGCTGATCTCAAACATTTTCATTAACCTGAACCTTGGATCATCTTGGACCCTTGGCAGCTGCGCAGTGATCCGCGGGGCACCGGTTCAATAAATCTGCGGTTCTGGGATGGTCAGGTCATGAATCTGGGCTGAATCCATATGGAGATCTATTTGATGAGGGGGAAGGCCCCAACGATCCCCAAAAGTCTATGGCCATTTGTCATGTTAATACCTATAACTAATATATAATATTCTCATATTCTCTAATGATTCACCAGTGGATGGAGTATCCTATTTTCAATCCGACCGGGCCAATTCCTGGAATAAATGATTCAAATGTGGTGGGCCTAGAATTCTCCAGATGCCTTGGTTATGGGTTTTGGGCGCTAGTGGCATATCAATGTGATCAGGGGACTTCCCAGTGAAGATGTTGCATGTCCTTGTGGTGCTGGAACCAACCTGAGCTTCCAATGGACCAACTGTACAGAAGACCTGTTCCAATGCTGAAACTGAAACTCCTCTCGGCATCGCTCAGCTAAGAGGATCCAGGTGCAAGGATGCCACCAGTTCATAACTGGTGTATTTGAGCACTAGGGATACGTTTGGGTTCTTGACTTCCTGTATTTTCATTTTCTGGGATCGGTATCAGAAGGTGTTTGCGACCCTGATTCGAAACCAGATTTTGCAACCAATGGGGCCCAGTATGATACACCTGTTCCCCTGATTGTTCGCCCCCTGAAAAGAGGATGAAGTCATTCAAAGGTGACCCCGCCGATAGTAGATGGTTAACAACCCTCTATGGTGGTTGTTGGCTAATAATTCGTGAATACGTCCTTATTTCTTGGGTAAGTCACCATTGTTTTGTTTAACCAGGACCAGAACCATGGTTAATGCATTTTAAACCCAATGAAATAACAGTGAGGTGTGTTATCTTATTCATTGGTTAATGAAATCCCCATAGATTTTACCAACGATTTCTGCGAAGCACTGGCTCTCTTGAGCGAGGCACTGCTGATGGGGCACCTGATGGTGTGGGGGACGTGCGCACGGAGGGAGCGGCACGGTGATGTTCAGCTTATGCCATGCGTTTTGTGTTGAACAAGTTGTACAACCTTGTTATCCTTGTTGCCACTTTCAGAATTCTGCTTTAGCGATCAACATCTCACCAAAGCGGGCATTGTCCATGATTCATCAGGGATTTCGCAAGATTTTGCCGGGAAATTCCCACGCGGCCAGCCGCAAGCAGTTGTGCACCTGCCACCCTGGCATGTCCTCGTTGTGAATCCGGATCCACGGCCGTCCACGGCGCTGTAAGCTGTGCAGTTGCGAGGCTGCAACCGACGCCAACTAGTCGACTTGGTGGTGTGAAAGATAGGTTAAAACATGTTAAAACCCATCATCAACCGTGAAATGATTATCAACAAATGGGAGTACAGTATCAGGGGACCTGAATTAAAACCCAAGGAATTGCTAGTTGGTGGTTTTCAAAGATATTGACAGAGTGTCTTCTTTCTGCGTTCCGGGGAAGCCACAAACTAGTCTTGACAAATCCACGTTCTATCCATGCATGTGTTGCATCCAAGGGATGATGCGCTTGAACAATACGGGGGTGTCTTTTGGGTACCCCAAAAAGAGTGACACATCAACTAAAATTGGTACTTCCATTGGTAAAGGGTTATGTAACAATACAAAATTGTTGGCGGCTGTTGACAGTCCTCCATCGCGAAGGGCAGTGGCATGGTCGGAGCGGGGTTCCACTTTAGGGCAATTTAGGCAGCCCCAAAAGCCTGAGATTTTGACAGCCGTGTGGGGCACAGGAGTGGACAGAGGTTCCAAGCAGAACATGGGACAATGTAGAATAGTAATAGATACACCCTTGACAGCCATATGGGCATGGGATCAAAATTGTATGCTTGAAAATGGACATTTGCGGTCCCCTGAGGACTTAGACTTTGACTCATCACCATCTCATCACCTAATAAGAGCAGTGCCTCAAATACAAATTTGTAGATGATTGTAGTGGTTAGTCTAGTACCTGGTTTTATCGGGGATTACTGGTACTTTGACCCAGAATGAGAACCCCCATAAACCAGTGAGTATAGTGGATGATACCAAGAAAAATTCCATCCGAAACAAGTTGGACGCACGGCACGGCTCTTCTGTCCACTCAGCTCAATGGCGCGGCGCGTATGGTTACCGGCTCGGCAACAGCAAGTGCAAGGAGAAAAACTGACACATGGGTCACCTGTTGCCCTTCGGTAGTCAAACATGGCAATGGGAAATCTTTATCGTGTTTGTTCATTTAACCCCCATGATATCCCCATGAACCTCTTGAAATCCCTATTGACTTTTCAACCATTGTGCCAGGTCGACAAGCCCTCTGCTCTGTAAGGAGGCGCCCGCGGCATCCCAGTTGGAAGTGACCCCAAAGGCGATCTTTTTTGAAACAAATAAACGCCTAAGAAAAGTTTTGACTTTTAAACGTGTTTATATATATATATATATATGTGTATGTATCTAATTGTTTTTACTTGAACTTAATGAGTTTCATGACCCCGCTGAGTTTTGAATTGATGGGTTGGTGGTAATTATTTGAAGTCTGATCTCGTCAGCATGTATCACCATGATGACCCAGCAACATTCATGTGGTGGTTGTGAATGATATCCGACTTGCTGCGCCGGGCCAAACTGATCAACACAAAGCTGTTTAAGAACTGCAGCGGAACCGTTAGATAAGAAGCGACTAAGAATTTTCCAGCCTACCCTGGGGTTCTTAAGTGCTATAGGTAAAAAAATATGGGAATTATGAACGAGGGTACCCACAGAGAACCGACAATATCCTTCAGAATATCTGATTTTCATTCTGAATATAATTCAGAACATCTAACTATCATTCAGACTATGTTTCCTTCAGAATACTTCATATCTCTGAATCTGGAATAGATTTCCTTCAGAATGCCTCATATCTCAGAATTCAATAGTTTCACAGTTACACAATAGAATTCATTCACCATAATGTTTGCAAAGCAATAGTCTAGCAATAATTTGTTAACCATCCCCAGTTTTTTTAACATACAGTGTGTAGATTTTTGTATAAATAAATATATACATAATATATATATATATATGTGTGTGTTTTTGAGTCGTTTGTATTGAACGTCAATCCATACGGCTGATTTACTATTGCCAATAGCCCACATAAAATGTCATCCCCTGATGGTCCCCTAGGCCCAGATGGAGGACCTGGAGCGTTGATGCTGAGATCATGGGGACATCGTGATGGGATTTTGGGAAACCAACAACAAAACATGGGATATCAGTCTTGAAATGGTAGTTTTAGTTTTCTTTTTGTAGGGTATCTAAGATTGACCATGATATCATGTGATGGGATAGTGATATAGCGACTCTGATGATTTGGGGCTTGATATAGCGCATTTTCCATGAATTCTGGGGGAGGAACATCCATAAAAAAAAACGAGCTATTTTGGTGTCCACCAAGGTATCAGGGTTTTAACCCAGAGCCATTTCCAAACTATCCATAGGTTGATAATTTTGACCTATATCCATGTGTTGAAAGTGATTAGCTTTGTGGTTTCAAACCAAAACATTGGCAATATCAGCATTAAATATGCGGACACAACCACAGAACATGGATACAATCTACTTGTGCCCACACGCTGGGATTATTCACCTCAATTGAAAAGATGTTCTCAAGAGACGTTGGATCAACCGCCAATCAGAGTGGTGTTGTGTTTAGCGCTACAATGTGAGTTTCATAAAGTACATAAAGTCAATCGCAGTTGCAGCCAGTTAAGTATCCCTATGATACATGGGTTACTTTGCAACTTCTTATCATCAGTGGTGCCTGTTTTCAAGATTCCATCCCAACCAAGGGGTCAACAGTTTTGACAAGTTGGTTCCGTTTGTGGGCTACATATTCTCCTCGTTCCATGTTGAATGAAGATCCTCGATAGCTCTGGGCATCTTTTGACGGAAACAACAGGAAACCATGGGGATCCATGGGGGTTCCTGGAAACACGCGCCGAAGCTTGCAATGCAGCAATCTGTTTTCATCAGGTCCACACCCAATCACGGTATGTGGCTGGATCACATCCAAGTTGGTTTGCTTGAATTTTCGAGTGTGCTCCAATGCTTTCATCACATGCGTGCAAGTGCAAGAGGAGATCTCCTAGCGTATGAGTGCCAATGCTTTCATCACATGTGTGCAAGTGCAAGAGAAGATCTCCTAGGGCAACATCCCGCATCTGTGCAAGTGCAAGAGAAGATCTCCTAGCGTAACATACCGCATCTGTGCAAGTGCAAGAGAAGATCTCCTAGCGTAAAACCCCGCATGTGTGCAAGTGCAAGAGAAGATCTCCTAGCGTAACACCCCGCATGTGTGCAAGTGCAAGAGAAGATCTCCTAGCGTAACACCCCGCATGTGTGCAAGTGCAAGAGAAGATCCTAGGGAACCATTCCGCATCTGTGCAAGTGCAGGAGAAGATCTCCTAGCGTAACATCCCGCATCTGTGCAAGTGCAAGAGAAGATCTCCTAGCGTAACATCCCGCATGGCAAAGAATGCAAAGAACGCAAAGAAGCTGAACGTTATTACCCCCCCCACCGCCCCACTTCCCCTACAAAACACTGCGGGCAGTGGGAAATATTAGCCCACAACACGTAATTAGGTGGCGTTCCGAACTGGTCCACAGGCGCGTTTTGACCAGTTCGGAGCCACCAACAAAGACTCCCAGGTATGTTTCGAACTGGGGAGACTTGACCGGTTGTGCCCCACAGAACCGAACTCTACCACATTGGAAAAACCTGCAGATTTGGTCAGAATCTGGTGCTTGTTTATTGCAACTTTGGGGAAATGCGTGCCGATCTATCGAATCTGGCCCACATTTGCATGGGACAGTCCATTCTGTAAAAAAGTATGGGCTATCCCCTGCTATCCCCATATCCAAGTTACTGTATATCCAAATTGTCCAAACTGTCCAACTTATATCCCGGTTGAACCCAGGTGATTCCCATTTTTTTAATCTCCAAGTTTCCACGATAGGACTCAGATCACGCCGAGTTGACTTGGAGCTTCCAGAAGATCCACATGACCCCGCTGCGATGGTCTGTTGGTCACAAGGAATATGCCATTCCCAATAAACATTGGACATCTATAGACACACTATTGGAATGATGTGGTAAAAACAACAATTCACAATCCCCAATAGAGGTTAACTACTGGATCTACATTTATTTTGGGGAACCGCATGGGGTGTATTTCATGTTAGGGGCCCTAGGGGGCAGGGATTAGTATTTCGGGGTGTAGTTGGGTTTTGTATGATTCATGGGTGCATCACTATTTATTGTCCAAACCAACCTCCTTGGGACCCAACTTGGGGGTGAAGTTCCACTATTAAGTGGCTATATTAGATATTGGGCTATTGGGTTATATTGCCCAAACTTATGAGGATGATTATTCATGGTTATATCCTCAAATTTTAGCAGTTTGACACTGAGGATCAGCCATGTTTAAAGGAAAGTAGCCTTCTAGCCCCCTACCTGGTAGGGTCCATGTTTTTTTTTGGAGTGGTAATGTTGGCCTTTGGATCCTCGAAAACGCGTTTGAACTGTGGTAGTTTGATGAAGTGATGGTGACAAGCTTGTTTTTTGGGAGCTATTTGGCCAGCGGCTGGGTTGACGCCACTAAGAACGTCCTCCACGTAACTAAAGCTGTGTTTCATTGCTGTGATTGAACATATCTTAAAACCACGTTTCAATGTTTTGCAGATTGTTGTATACCTTATACATACTTTTACAACCCTTGATATCCAGCGATATGAAACATAATCATACAGTCATACATAACATATACTGATACAACTTAAAAACAAAGATAATGAACATACATAATTACAGATAAATAAATATATATATATATGCATATTGGATGATCTTGGCCTCTGCGTTCGTTTCTTTTGAAATTATGACATTCTCAATTTTGTTGTTGGAAGATGCAGGATCACCTTGGAGCTATCTCGAGCGGGAAGTGATGAGGTGCTGGAGGGATGATATCCTGGGGTAAACGTTCGCACAGTGGTGGAAAATCCACCATGTTTAGATCATTTTCCGAATGGGAAACCATTGGTCTTTCACATCTATGTGAACGTTTACCACAGGGTATCATGTTTTTTTGGGGGGAGGGGGGATGGTTGTAAGGATATTGATTTGAAAGGAATCTAGAACAAACGGTGGCAAGATAGCGGACAATTGTGGAAAGCCATCTTTTAAGCTATATGTGGAGAATGAACATGTCATATTGTCACACTACCCAAGTACAATGCAGCAGCCTTGGATGAAGTGGACTCATCTGGTCATTGAACATAGCTTTGGACATTTCTCCATTTAACGATGCTTTACCTAGACACACGCTATGTTTCGTGCCTGCTTTATGCTACCAGATGGTATATACATGTATATACCCTATTTGGGACAACAAACCTCCAAAGGAAGCCGGATCAGATCCCCAATGGAAATGTTTAAACAGGCTAAACCACCATACCTGATGGCTTTGTGAAAACTGTGCCGCCCGTTTGTGGTGTTGTGGTGTTTGAAATTGACAAAATCCACATTTGATTATGTAGCGTGTAAAAATTGGTAAACTCCATATTTCGCTGCACACTCCTTATTTGGGTACGTCTCGGCATTGCCCCGTGCCTTTGATTCCCAGTCCCTTCCCAAATTCATACTCCATGATCACCCATTACTCTGGCATTTCAAACGCATGAATGATAGGCACAAACTGTCAAATAGTTTGGCTAAATATACTTATCGAAGGAAGTTTAGAAGTCAAACTTCCGACAATATGGACAGATGAAAAGCAGAGCAGGGCAGAGGCAGAGAGAAGAGGAAGATTAGAAGAAAGAAGATCAGAAGAGAAAGAGTAAGAAGAAAGAAGATGCAGATGTGCGAAAAGGTAGGAAAGTCGCGAAACACTGTGTTTTTCCAATGATTTGGGGCTCCGGAGGGTCGAAAAGTAGGCTCGCTAAAGCGGCGGGTGCGGAGCCAGCTGGCCAGATGAGAGATGAAAAAGTGCACGCCGTTGTGGCGCGAAGCACATTTGGAAGCCAAAATGTACAAAACACACCATTCTCGGACCACTTTTGGAAGTTGAGATGTCGAAAAAGTGCACGCCGTTGTGGCGCGAAGCACATTTCCAAGTCAAAATGTACAAAACACACCATTCTCGGACCACTTTTGGAAGTTGAGATGTCGAAAAAGTGCACGCCGTTGTGGCGCGAAGCACATTTCGAAGTCAAAATGTACAAAACACACCAGTGTCGGACCACTTTTGGAAGTTGTGATGTCGAAAAAGTGCACGCCGTTGTGGCGCGAAGCACATTTCCAAGTCAGAAGTGTTAAAAACTGACGGTCTCGGACCACTTTTGGAGGTTCAGATGTCGAAAAAAAAAGTGCACGCCGTTGTTGCACGAAGCACATTTCGAAGTCAAAAGTGTAAAAAACTTAGGGTTTTGAGCCTTTTTTGACGTGAAGATGTCGAAAAAGTAGACACTGATTAACTTAACTAACTTGACTAACTTAACTAACTTCACTAACTTAACTACCCTAACCTCGACGAACAACAACAACAACAACAACAACAACAACAACAACAACACCAACCACAACAACCAACCACAACAACTACAACTACAACTACAATAGATCGATAGATGGAGAGAGAGATAGATAGATAGATAGATAGATAGATAGATAGATAGATAGATAGATAGATAGATAGATAGATAGATAGATAGATTAGATAGATTAGATAGATAGATAGGTATTTAGATGAAAGAGAGAGAGGGAGAGATAGATAGATAGATAGATAGATAGGTAGGTAGGTAGGTAGATAGTCAGAGAAAGAGAGAGAAATAGTGAGAGAGATCAATCACCTTTCGCTCCAGCAGTGGCTTCGCTCTGCCATCCCTGATTCACAACAACCAACCTCTCCTATAGGTTTCCTATTTTTGAAACTTCCGCCACCGCCTTGTGCGGTACTACTGGTATATTTATATATATATAAAAATACATATATGTCATGATCCTCATCATTTATGTGTTTATCAGCTATTTCTCACGTGATGATTGCCTTTTGAGAATTGGGATATGTCCACCCTATGATTGTCCATGGATCATAATCTTAGCTATATCCCATGATGTTCCGATAAAGCATAGGTGTTCCCATGTTTCCCCCATGATATTCCCATAATTGTACCACTTTGTTTTCATGCTCAACCCCCGCCATTTAGCTGTGTACATCCCACTAAATCCAAAAAACATAGACCGGAAAATCAAGCGGTGCGTTTCTGCCCCCATAACTGTGTTGCTTAACTTAAATCACTTGGGATACTACAATAACCCCGGGCATTTCATTTTAGCTTGGCTTGCACCTTAACACTGCCAATGCATTGCCGGCCCAGAAAACGATAAGAGTAAACAAAACGATAACGAGCTTATACATGTACATGTTCATGAAGCCTGAAGATGGCAACCTGCACAGGCCTCCAAAACGATAGCTAGAAGATAGCAAAAACTAACAACATATGAAAAAACGCGAGCCTTTGGGTGGATACCCACCTGACCGGTTTGAGCATATCAGCTTTCGAAGGCCTGTATCTTTGACACATAGCAACGGAACATGAAAGGACATGAAAGGACATGAAAGCAAAATGAAAGAAATGAATGCAAAATGGAAGGAAATGAATGCAACATGAAAGGAACATGAGAGGAAATGAATGCACAATGAAAGGCGATGAAAGGACTTGAAAGTTGGAAAGCTGGATTTCAACTACGTTGGGGAGGACCCTTCGTATCATGGGGATAATGTGGTATACATTTGTCGAAGCCTCAGGCTTACACCGTTTAGTCTCCAACACAACCGGCGGGCTGCAGACCCAGGCCTTCGCTGCGTGTACTTGCGCAACTACCGCACCACGTTTGCCCCGGAAGAGCCGCGGCGATCTCAGGTGCAAAATCCGGTCTTCAGTAGCAGATCTTCTGATATTTAAGATACAAGTCAAATGCGGTCGCCGCGTGGCCTGAGGACGGACGCAGAATCGGAATCGGAGATCTCCGCCGATGACGATCAGTCGACGGAGGCGGGTGATAGTACACCAGCTTCTCGTGTTGCGGTTCCTGCAAGCAATCGTGTTGCATTAGGTGCCTGGCACAGCGATCCCATCTGACATGGAAGATGACTTGTCGGATGAGGAGGCAGGGGGCAACAGATAATCCCTTCCTCCTAATACTAAACCCCCCCCCCCTAATACAAAACACGGCAGGTAGTTTTTAGTATTAGGGGGGTATTTATTATTAGGGAACCAAATCGAAATCATGTTAATTAATTAATTAAATTTCCTTATATAACGCAATTAAAATATTGCCAAAAATGGCAGTTCGAAGCTTACCCCTAATACTAAATTAAAACCCTTAATATTAAAAACTATTTTTTCCGATCTCAAAATCAATTAAATTTCCTTATATAACGCAATTAAAATATTGCCAAAAATGGCAGTTCGAAGCTTACCCCTAATACTAAATTAAAACCCTTAATACTAAAAACTAGTTTTTCCGATCTCAAAATCAATTAAATTTCCTTATATAACGCAATTGAAATATTGCCAAAAATGGCAGTTCGAAGCTTACCCCTAATACTAAATTAAAACCCTTAATACTAAAAACTATTTTTTCCGATCTCAAAATCAATTAAATTTCTATATATAACGCAATTAAAATATTGCCAAAAATGGCAGTTCGAAGCTTACTCCTAATACTAAATTAAAACCCTTAATACTAAAAACTATTTTTTTCCGATCTCAAAATCAATTAAATTTCCTTATATAACGCAATTGAAATATTGCCAAAAATGGCAGTTCGAAGCTTACCCCTAATACTAAATTAAAACCCTTAATACTAAAAACTATTTTTTCCGATCTCAAAATCAATTAAATTTCCTTATATAACGCAATTAAAATATTACCAAAAATGGCAGTTCGAAGCTTACCCCTAATTGCTAGAGTAGCTAGGCAGCTTGGAGTGAGGGATTGGGACTAGGCCCCCCTAATACTAAACACCCCGGGGTGAACTAGTTTTTAGTATTAGGGGGGAGAACCCACAAATGGTAGGTTGATTTTTAAATTGTTTTTTAAAGGGGATCAATTAAAAGTCAAATTGGCCAAACTGAAATTTTCGGAAATTGGAGATGGATGCCTGTTTTTAGTATTAGGGGGAAGTTTAGTATTAGGAGGAAGGGATTAGTACCTCTTCCTCTGTGCCCACATCGCTACGATGCAGGCGTGGCCCCACGGGTGGATCTACGTTGCGCGGAAGTCTGTGAGGCGAAGGGGACAATAATCAGACAAAGGAACCGATGCATTAGCACTGACATGCAAAGAAGTTGACCCGCGCTGCGCCGACAGGCCTATACGGCGGAGATCTCCGACTCCTGCCGATCGATGGCTGGATCCGCCTGGACTTCAAATGGATTGTTGTGTTTGTCGGACTTGCTCCGGGGACTTGACCCGAGCACTCACTGCGTTGCACAACAGGTGTTTTTTTGCCGAAATGCACAGATCTCCGTCTCCATCTGTTTGCAGCAGCAGCCTCCAAAGAAACTGGTTCACACCATCCATGCCTGTTTGGGAGAGACACGCATTCTTTGTGAAACATGCCATAGGAATGGAAGTTCACGCAGATGCAGTAGATAGCTTGGCAGAAGCGAAAAAAACACCGGTCTGCTTCTCCATATGTAGATATATTTTTTTTAAAGATAAGATAGACATAGACTGAAGCCAGACAGATACATGTGCAGAATGGTACAGGGATTCATTTGAATATGCAGATCGCTTGGCAGAGGTGGGAAAGCATCGGATTGCATCCATATCTTCACATACGGGAAACATACAGATGCATAGAGAAACAGAGAAGCAGTTTATCGGCAGCATTTTCACACCAAGAATTTTGTGCGTTTCACCTTGAGCCGTGCACCTGGGGTC